TACATTCAGTCTTTGGGACAGGTGCATGCCGAGGGTGGAGGTGTCAAGACTGTGGGAGGCACAGACAGTCTCTGATCTTGGCAAATTGGCACTTCCACCCTGTTAGCCCACTTACCATTATCCTGGAAGAGGGTATATCCTGGATAGAAACCCCCAGAAGCTTCTTAAAAAACAACAATTCATACCAGCTTTAAGGATGGGCAAGTGTCTTTGAATTCTTGAGTTATACTGTTGTTCCCTTCTCACCTTTGAAAAATGACACAGTCTCCTGAGAAATATTTCTCAGCATGGGGCACAAAGAAAGACAGGAGAATCGGACCTCTCTAAAATATATTTGGTGACCCAGATTTTCTGACAAAGTTGTGATCTTAACTCAAAGCTCCATGAGGACAGGGCTGTGGCTGATCTGTTTTCTATGGGATCTCTAACGCATCTCCTGTCATGAGCCAAGGTTATTAAAGTGACTTACCAGGCAGAGAGCCTGAAGCCAAGGCCAGTTTCAAAATTTCTGCTGTTATGGTAAACTCAACACACACACACACACACACACACACAGAGAAAGAGAAAGAGAGAGACAGAGAGAGAGACAGAGAGACAGAGACACACGGAGGAAGGGAATTTGCATTGGAATTCTGTCAGCAGTTCCTTTAAGACCTCCAGGTTTTTTTTTTTTTTTTTTTTTTTCTGGGACTTACATCTTAGTAACTTATGTTTGTGTAAATTACTTTTTGCAACTTCCTCCAAGCTCCCTTGTATTTGTTATCTGATTGGATTAAGTCATCACAAGCCCTAGATGGAGAGCTATTTCTTGTTTTGCATGGGAAACAGATCCAGAAAGATCTATCTAAGATCATTGTGGCCACATTGTAAGCACAGTCTGAGCCTTCCTCTTTATCCACCCAGAACCCTGACACACACACGCATGCTCTCTCTCTCTCTCTCTCTCACACGTGTGCGCGCGCGCGCGCGCGCGCACACACACACACACACACACACACACAGAAAGAGAGAGAGAGAGAGTCAGACAGACAGCCATCAGAAGCTCTCAAGTTCCCAGCACAGAATCTCAGAAGCCCTAAGGCAAAAAGGCACTTGATCCAGCACCTTTGGATCAACTATCATTGTTGACAAGAACAACTGCCCCTGCCACTTACATTTTGTTCCCTTTCTCTGTCCTGTGACCCAACTTTGTCTGTTTTGTTTGAAAGCCAATCACACCCACTCCTACTCCTCATTCCCAAACATGAAATTCAACTGCAGTGAATTGAAAATGACTCAAAATGCCCAATAACAGGGAAAAACAGTTAAACTCCTAAGGTAAATGATGAAGTGCTAGGGCAGCATAAGCCATGACAAGTATGTAAGCCATCCCTGTGCACGGTAAGATCTTTGCAATACTGTGATTGGAACAGAGCAGAAGCTACAATGGCAGGCACCTACCAACCACGTCTGTACAAATGGGCATCTGCAAATTAATAAAAAGCGACCGAGAAAGATGAATGAAAGATTTTTCTCTTTGTAGGTTTTCCCTATGGTGCTCAAATAATAACTATTAATAATTTCCTAACGCATGTGGCAAATATTAGCATACTAAGCAGAGAGGGCGCTGTCAGGGAGGAAGAATTCCTGCTAGAGTTGCTGAAGGGCCCTGCCCATGGTGATCTAGAGCTCTGCTCCAAGGAGACCCTCCAACATCAATAACCATGCCAATGGTGCCTCCGTGTCCAACATGGAAAAAGAGTGGGTGCAGGAAGGGTTTCTAGTATTACCCACATCACTACAATTATGGGGCACTTAAAGTGAGGCCTAGCTGACAAGAGGCAAAAGACCTACAGAACAACTATAGACTTTTGTGGGTACAGTGCCAGGCTATCTGGGAGTACAGAGGCAAAACCTAGGCTTCCCTAAGACGCAGGAGCAGTGATCTCCACAACACATTAAACTCAAAGTGTTTCAGGCTGACCCGGTATCTCATCAGCCTCTCCGTGAAGGAGTGCTTTCCTCTCCTTGTTCTCCAAATTGGTGATTACCACCAGTACTCAGCCACAGTCCACAAGGCTCTATCAGGTCTGTCTCCAGCTTCAGCTTTTGCTCTGTGCTACTCTACCTTACGTCCTAAACACGCCAAAATAGTGCCAGTGCCCATGGCATGCCAAGCTGTCTCAACTGTCCTGTCTTTCCTAAGCCTGTAGTTTCAGCCTGGGTTTTCTCAACCTTACCTCACTGTCTACTGTCAAGACAGCACACGTAGCATCTCATCTGCAAAGCCTGAGCCCCACAGCACCAGTTCCCAACCAGAGGCTAGTACCTCATCTTACTCGTCTCCCAAGACACATCTAGCACTATTCCTAGTACATCTTCAACACTCAGGACAGCTGTGGAACTTAACCCCCGTGTTACAGTCTGAGAACTGCATCACTGGGTAGTGTCAACACTGTTTGAACACCATACAGTATACGTTCGTGGACTGTAATCATATAGCCCAATATATGTTATATAGTACACCCATTGCATCTGGCTCTATAAACTATTACTGTGCTGAATATGTCAGGTAGCTGTCGTACAATGGTCAGTACTTAAAAACTTAAACATATCAAAAAGGTATGTTTATATCAGTACCACCATGAACATTTGAGAAATATATAGTGCTGAAAACACAAAAATAGTTGCTCTGTCGCAAGATTATAGGAATGTTTCAATGCCGTTGTAATCTTGGTTTGTTTTTGGTTTTTGTCTTGGTCTACTTTCTATTGCTGTAATAAAAAAAATGACCAAAATTAAAGTTGGGGAGGGAAGAATTTCAGTTTACACGTCCTGATCACGGTCTCTTATAAAACAACTCAAGACAGGAACCTAGAGGCAGGAACTGAAGCAGAGGCTATGAACTAACATTGGTAATTGGCTTGCTCTCCATTTCTTGCTCAGCTAGCACTTTTAACAGCCCAGGACCTCCTGCTTAGTTGTCTGGCTGTCTTCATTGGGCTAGACCCGCCCACATCATCCATTAATCAGGAAAATGCCCCACGGACACGCCTATAGGCAATCTGATGTAGGCATTTACTCAGTAGAGATTCCTCTCCCAGGTAACTCCAGCTTGTTTCAAGTTGACAGAAATCTAACCAGAGGAGTTTGGGTTGTTATTGTTGAGATGGGGTCTCACTATGTATCCCAGGCTAGCCTCAAACTCACTCTGTAGTCTTGAACTCTTGGTGATCCTCCTGCCTCACCTTCCTGACTGCTTGAACTACAGGTGTGTGCTACATGTGGCTCCATGATAATCCTATGGAACCACTGTTGTATGGTGTCTGGCATTGACTGAATCACCATGCACTATATGACTATGTTTTAAGAACAAAAAAATACCATTAATTTTAGGGTAGACTATTAGATTAATCATATCAAGCCCATGTGGAAAACTGCAATGCTGTTATACTTTAAGTATGATGATCTGACAGACCTTTGACCTCCAGCCACCCTTTTCTAGGGCAGGGTCTCCTCTGGTCTCCAGATCTTTTGAAAACTTTCTACCACTGCATACAACAGGTAGCCTTATCCTTAGGTCCCTCCTCTTCTCAAACACTGGCCTAGGGCTATTTCTCTAGTCTCTATGTGTCTTGTGATGTTCTGAGGAGCTCACTTGCTTGCTGACGAAGGTAGTGCCAGGGAGTGAGGGAGAAAAGATGGGCCATTTCTTGGCATCCAGAAGGGCCGGTCTCTTCCACTGAGCCGTGTGAGGCTGCCTTGAGGTTGGGCCTGAGGTAGGCAGCACTCACTGGTTCTCACGGATGTTATGTTGCCCCACTCCCTGGCTGGGCAAGCATTTTGATCTCCAGCCTACACCTTGAGGTATGGCAGTCACCAATACCTTCCACAGTGGCTGGTTTTCAGGAATGCCCAGACTTTGGGCTGGAATGACCCGCAGAGACCTACTGCCTCTCCAGCATCAGAGGGGTGCCCTTCCCACTGTTAGACCAAGCATCCTTGGTCATGCCCCCTAAGGCCAAATCATCAACCTCCCTTTAAGTCGGGCACTTGGGTGAGGGGGATCACGTGCCAGTCTCCATCTTGGCCCACTCAATAAAGTTCTACTCCCTCTAGGTCTGGTCCTGCTTAGGTCACAGCACCGGCACCGGCCCTGTGAGCCTGGAGCTAAGACGATGCTCTGGCTCTCGGAGGCGGATGAGAGAGGTACTTTTCAGTCTCAGGGAAGCTCACAGCCTGAAGGCTAAAATGCACAGAGAAAGTGCAAAGCACTTGGACAACAAACATTTAAAAAAAAATCAAATCCAAAACACAGATACACAAGTGCTTGTTAAAAATAATGTGTCTCAAGACAGGTATTTTTCTATTCAAGGGACTCAGAGTTTCATAGCTGATTTCTAAAGACTCTGCAGAATCCAAGGGCTCTGATAACAGTTAACCCCCCCCCCAAAAAAAATGAACGGTCCTGAGCGGGCCAGGTGTGGTTCCAGGCCCCAACTATAAGGAGAAAGGGGCCTACCTGGCCTGTGTGGATGTGCCTAGTGTTCTGATTTCATCTCTCAGCCCAATGGCCATAGGATTGTCCAAAAGAGAAGTCTGAACACTCAGAAGAGATGAGGGAATCCTAACGTTTTAAGACATGGGGTCCTTTCAGGCACTTCAGTGACCCTCTTCTAACATCCACGTGGCTAAGGGTCTGAGTAGTTAGAACAGGCTTCTCAGAGGAAGAATTCAGTGGTTCCAGAAGGTATTTCACACCTTCCCCAACCCTGAACATAAACTGATATGGGGGGGGGGGTGTCTTTTCAGATCACGGCCTTTTTCTTGATAGAGTTGATTCTTTAAAAACCTGGTAAAGCCAGGCATAAATGGCACAGGGTAAGAGTTCAAGCCAGCCTGGGCTTCAGCAGAGTGAACCTCTGTCACAAACAAACAAACAACCACAACATGGTGAGGTGCTGGATATAAAAAAGTAGACACGGAGAGGAATCTAGGAGAAAGGTCCCGGGAAGACTTACTCTTAGCACAGTAGAGAAGAGTCTGGCTTCTCAGAGTCCACGGGAGAGAGGAGAAGGGTGAAGGAAGGGGACGAGAAGGGAGTCGCAGGAGGCAGCTAGATGTGTAGTGGGAACGAGTTTTGTGGGATCTTGTGGCCATTGAGAAATCCCAAGGTGGTGAGATGGCCGAAATAACTTTTCGAAACATTTCAGAAATGTGATTGAAGTCTGTTTGCCATGTGATGTAACCTCCTCTCCCCTGTGACCCACAAACCTTCACTAAAAGTTCTGTTACATGTTATAGCCTCATTTTTGTGGTTTTAGGGGTGGGAGTTGGAAAGAGAACGGGCTGATGTGACAGCAAGAGGAACAGTCATAAGACTGGAACGGCGAATAAAATTTCAGATTAGGCCGCGAACTAATTAGATTAGAGCCAGAGGTGACCATGAAAACCTAAGTACCCTCAGCAGTTCACAGAAATCCTGGGGACAACATTGTACTTTCCACAGGACATAGGAACTGGAGCCAATGTCATCTGAATGATTTGCAAAGGACAGACTATCTCAGCTGACACCAGCTTCCAAACAAGGTTTCCCTTTCCAAATGAACCAATTCTTGGAAAACATAAATGGGCCACATGCACCTCTGCCACCCGGGGCGTCACACGGGGACTGTACACAGTAGAATCCAGAAACTGTGAGAGCACCCTACAGGCTCACCGCGAGTGGAGCTGGCAGGGAGAGACGAATACCTAGAGAGAGCACGCAGCGGGAGGGTCAATTTGGCCTGGGCTTTTTCTCCATCTGCCCTTAGTTTTCTACCCTCAGATCCATCAACCCTATCGTAATGACCTCTTCACGTCGGCGCTGCAGCCAGAAGGTCTTGTAAACAGACAAGGCCCAGGAGGAGATAGTGATGGAGGTCATAAAGGGTTGTGTAGAAACCAGACGGCTCTCAGCTTGTTCTGCCCCCTATGAATCAAAAAGCAAACACTGGCCCTTGAAATTGGGCTTCTGGTCCAAAGAGTCCAGCCATGGTGCGGCTGCGAGTGAGTAGGCAATCCCAGGAAAGGTCCTAAGTCTTGTGGGACTCTGGCCTATGCTCCCAAGCATCGCTCTTTTATACGGTGCCCCCTCCACCCCTCACCCTCACCTCCTTACCCCGAGATCTCCTGGGAAATTCAGTAATCCAAGGTCGCTCAGTCCTGTGGCATCTTTACAGGGAACACACAGTAGGGCTGATGGCACCACCTGGTGGCGAACACGCTACAACTCACCCTGTGAAGCTCATCACCCAGGAGCAGCCAAGGAGGAAGGAACAGACCTCGCAGCCCGGCCCAGCGTGGCTACGTCACCAGAGTGCGCCAATTCTCTCCGCCTCTTTCCCCACCCTCCTTGGGCCTGCCAGTACTTGACGTGGCGTCTCCGCCCTCTACCCTTACTTTGCGTGCGTGCTTGCGTGCGGTGGAGGTTGCTGCGCGGGCAGGTCGGAGCAGCGCGCTGCCGCTTCTGGTTGTTCCGTGGCCGCCGTCTCCGTCCGGCTGTCTTGGACGGCGGAGCCGACGAGGCGCGCGGGTCCTAGCCCTTCGGAAGCACAAGCAGCTCGGCGCGGGGCCTGGCGGGAAGGCGGGCGAGCGCGTGGCCGAGGGTGCCGCGCGGACGGGCGAGCGCCCGTGAGGGAAAGAGGCGGGGGCGGCGGGTTAGCCGCGGGCCGGGCCGGCCGGGGGATGTCGATGCCTGACGCGATGCCGCTGCCCGGTGTCGGGGAGGAGCTGAAACAGGCCAAGGAGATCGAGGACGCTGAGAAGTACTCCTTCATGGCCACAGTCACCAAGGCTCCCAAGAAGGTGCGAGGCTCTAGGTGGCGGCGGGGGCCCTCGCGGAAGGGGCGCGAGCAACCTCCAGGCCCGGGCTCGGGTAGTTCGGGCTAAGGGTTGGGGTGCTTAGGGACCACTGACACCATGTAAGGGGTGGCCGGTGAGCGGCCATGGGCCTATCTGGGGCCGAAGAGGCCGCTCTGACCTCGCTTTTCTTTGTCCCTCGGCCGGAGTCCTCCTGGATCTTTCTGAAGCCCGAGAGGGCCAGGCCTTGTATTCGCGGCCGACTTTTTCGGGATGGAGGGCCTTGAGGAAGAGATTGGGAGGGGGTGAACTGCTCAGCTGACCCCTGTGACCTCTCTGGGTGATGGGGCTGTGCAGGTAACTTCCCCTCTAGCTAGTGGGGAAATCAGGCAGCGCTTTTTCAAGGCATCTCTTGGGGAGCGTTGGCCGTTTAACCAACAACTGCGTGATAGATTAGAGGCAAGAGGAAAAATTGTATGAACTGGCTTTTTTTTTTAAAATGCAGCTGAAGGCTCTAAAAGCAACAAAAGATTGAAAGTCGAAAATGATTTTCGCATCCCAGTCTTCCAGTTGCTTGGAAGTATGCGAGAAAGGGAAATTTAAGGGTTGGTGACAGTAGACACTGTCATGGATGCAGGTTGATCCCAGTCATGTGAATAGATCATTTAGACATCCCTCCAGAAAGAAGAAGCTTGGGTAGGTGGGAGAGGTGGGTGGTAAGCAATGATTGCTCATTCTTTACTGCACTCGCTGAAGCAGAACAAGTTCCGCCTATTGTGCAGAGGGTTGAGCTTCTCTTGCTCTTGGAAAAGGTGATCTATGGAGGGCTGAGTTTAACTAGCCCTCTCCGCGGTGGCATTGAGATCCCCGGAGCTTTCTGTCAAACATTACTCGACTTTACACCTTTGGCACCCAGTTAACAGTAGACCAAAGAACCTTTGCCAAGAGGTGACCTTTCTGAAGCCAGCAAAAACCAGGACAAACATTCCCCTCTTGTATAAAGTCATTTCAGAGCTAACCCTGTCCTACAGTACGTGTTGGGGTTCGGGCTGGTATAAATTCAGTAGAGCAAGGTTTGCAGGGGTAGGCAGCCCTGAGGTCCCTGCACCTGAAGTAGTTAAGCTGTTCTTAGTGCCTGAGAGGGCCTTTTCCCCTCCAGGAAACGAATTATCAGACAAGTCTAGCAAAGAGAAGTCTGTGTACTTTAGCTTAGTTTTCTCAAAAAATTGAGATTGTTACCATTAGGGCCTTTAAAAGATTCTAGAAGATCCCTTGATCCTAAGGGATCCAGTCGACCTCGTTTTTAGTGCTCTCATTCCTCTGATTTGTTGAAGTGACCTTTTGCAATGTGCACTATTTGGAATCGCAGTTAGAGTTCTTACAAGCAGAATGCTTACGCATAGTGCCTCAGATGAATTAAGGGAAAGAATAGGGAAATCCTGATAGCCTGATCCCTCTGGCTCATCTCTTACCATTAGCCCACCTTTTGTCTAGTTACTTGAGAGTGTTTTCATTGTTCCTTTTCTTTATTTCGATGTAACTGTATTCTTGCAAGCCAATACTGATAAACCAAAATCTGTACTATACGTTGTAAACTAGAGGCAAGAGCCATGAAACCTAGCTCTGTACCTTGCACACAGCACTCAATTGTTAATTGCCAGTCTGGCTAACCAGTAACTGAAATGCTGAATGCCAGCAGCACTAATATCCCTTTCCCTTTCTTCTTCCTGGGAGGAAGATCACAAATGAGTATTATTGTGAAGCCAAGTGCTAATGACTTTAGAGACTCCCATTAGCTAAAATAAGCAAGTCTGCCAGGAGTGTGGGAAGACCCTGTTGTAAGTTTCCATTTGCTATTATGTGTCTCCATGTTATTAGTCTCGGTCTTTGAACTTTATTGTGTGGCATTTACGTTGTACTTATATTGAAATGCATTGCGATGACTAATTACCCTTCCCTTAATGATGATAAAAGACATTATTTAGTTAATGGACCAGTTAAGGACTAGTCAAGGTCATGTAGGTAGTCTGGTTTTGGGTATGTTATCCTTCCTCAGAATTGCAGCTGGATTTATGACTTAGATCACTTTTTGTACCTCTTCCATGTGATGATTATGTGACAAAGTATGGGAAAGGTGAGGGTGGGTGGGAGCTTGGCATGGTACTGGGTAGTGTGAGAAAATGGCCTCTTTCAAATGGTGTAGTCCTTCACCCATGAGGATTCCAGCTTGACTCTAAACCAAGTAACCCGTGGGTCATTCCCATTCCTGAGGCCCGCTGGAATTGAGGACATTCCTGGGTCAAAGAATATAGGTGACCTCAGTGCTTCTCAATAAGATCAGATCCTAGTGTACTTTTTTTTTTCTTGCCAGCTTTTATTTATTGTTTGCTTTGAGGTACAGCATATGTAAAAGCATATGCATCTGCCGGGCGGTGGTGGCGCACGCCTTTAATCCCAGCACTCGGGAGGCAGAGTCAGGCGGATCTCTGTGAGTTCGAGACCAGCCTGGTCTACAAGAGCTAGTTCCAGGACAGGCTCCAAAACCACAGAGAAACCCTGTCTCAAAAAAAAATAAAAAATAAAAAAAAAAGCATATGCATCTTACTATTCAACGTTAATGATACCCAGTGTTGTATCCTTATTACAGGGCTTGTTGGTTTGATTAAGACTTGAAATAATTGGTGGTCAGGAAGCCAACTATTAATTGGTATTCCCTTAAGTGAATAACTTGTGTACCTCAGTTCCTCATTTGCCTAATAAGTACCTGTTTGGAATAGATGTAACTAGAGACATTTGGAAGTTAAGATAGCAACAGTAGTTTTTTTGTTACCTCTTTTTAAAATTTATTTATTTATTTTGATTTTTCGAGACAAGGTTTCTCTGTAGCTTTGGAGCCTGTCCTGGAACTAGCTTTTGTAGACCAGGCTGGCCTCGAACTCACAGATACCTGCCTGCCTCTGCCTCCGGAGTGCTAGGATTAAAGGTGTGCACCACCACTACCCAGCTTAAACATTTTTACTACATTAATTTATGGAGGGAAGACACGTGTGCCACAGCATGTGGGGAGTCAGAGGATAATTTGCAGAAGTTTCTTTTCTCATTCACTTTGTGGGTGCCAGGGATCAAACTCACATCAGACTGGGCAGCAAATGTTTTTGCCTGCTGAGAATCTTGCTGGGCCTTTTCTCATTTGAGGTAGCTTATAGGAGGTCATAAATACAATACAATGGGGAAGACAAAACTTCAGAAATAATGGGGAAAATTGTTAACCTTGAATATAATTAATGAGGTTGGCTACCACAAGCAACTCCGTATAAACA